TACATGAGTGAAAGCCATCATGTTCTGAGCCTCCTGCAAGATCCTATCAGTTGTGAGTGCCCCCTGCAAAGGTCTGAGAATAATCAGCCAGCAGTGTAACTGATGGCTGCTGTCCGCCCTCAGTAGCAACTTCTCGTGCTGCCTCACTGCCACGTCCCAGTTTCACCATCCAAGGCAGCTCCTGTGAGGAAATCATGCAAAATCAAGTCAACTCCTAAGCCAGTCATTTTCAAACAATGAATGCACATTTATGCAATCAAAAACATTATCTCATCACATCAGAGTCCCTACTCATACAATTCTGATATCGCATAAACACGTGACAAAATTATTTTTGTGCTAATTTTTTCAATAACAATGTTCCACAACCTGAAGCAGAAGAAGAAATATAAAAATGCGATACTTCACAACATTCCCATACTTTTACTGCTCAGGAAGCCACCCTGAAGTAAAGTGACTAGGCTGTGGGCTGGGCAGCTCAGCAATCACTGCCAACCCCTTGCATGTGAAAGAGATCTTTCTCTGCTCCAGCATCCAGACTGACTCTGGAGCCACCCACAATCCTGTCCAATGGGGATAAACTGGTCAGAACATGAAGCTCCACACACTTCCACTTAGAGCTGAGGTGCATTGAGCTACTACACTTTTCTTCCCACAAACACCTCCTTGGTGTGGTAATTAATTATGAAGAACAATTTCACTGAGATCAGAGGACAGTGTCAGGAAATCAGTGGGAACCTAGAACTTTTGTAACAAGAAAATGTTTATTTGGTAAATCTCTTCATATTGTGACACGATGCCCAAAACCTTAAAAAGTGAAGTCAGAATAGACATTCATTTCTAGGCACAACTTGGTAAACACATTCCTGTGGCAACGAATACACAAGCAACAATTGAGCAATTTCTGTTGCTATGGAATGGTGCTCTAAACATGCCTTCTCACCAGCAGAGAGGCTGTGTTTTCTGTGTTCATGCAAAGTGGTTACAAAGACGAGTTCATTTGAGAAGTAGTAGTGGAGTTGGTCAAGTTTTGAGAAGCCAGGACATGAGCCTGGGAGCAGAGGAATTGAACTGAGTCGAATCTTCAGAACTGGCAGATGCAGAATAATAGCAAGAAAGGAATTAGGCTGTAAAAGAGGACTTCATGTGTGATTTAAAGTTACGTGGGACTATATAAATCCATTGCCTGAATATGACTAGTAAAGACTGAGAACCCTAGTGTGTGTATGATAGTGAACTGTAAAGTGTGCGAAAATAGTGATAATGATGTACTGTCTACAGTCCTGAGTTGTGTGAATAAGATGTCAATAAATACTGTCAGCCAATTCAGGACCTATCTATTAGTTAAGCACACAACCCCTACACATGACAATATCATCAGTAGCAGTGTACAGTGAAGTTCTTTTAGGCCATATAATGAAGTATGACAGGATAAAAAACAATGCTATTCTGTTTCATAGAATCATTCTTCAAAATGACATAGCCAGAGTGCCGTGCATTCACACTTAAGTATCTTACCGTTATACTGCTATAATTATACTAAAACCACCGAGTAACAGTGTCAAAAATTCCACAGGACACAGACTGACAGGAGACAAAATATTAAGGTAGAACATTAATGTTTAGGAACATTCAGACTTTTAACATATACAATGGACTATGTGGAAGCATGCCACATGTATTCTATGTGACTGTGAGGCCATAGCTTATTTAAGATTCTCTTCTTCATGGAACCAAGTGACTTTTATGACGCCCCCATAAATAAAGTCATACATTTCATTCTAAGTGTAGGATTAATAAAGGGGAAGCACAAAGATCATTGAAGGTCACAGTGCAAGGGCCAGACTTTATGGCCCACCCCTATCACACATACATACATACATGTGGAAGCATTCTATAGAAATCCTACAAAGTTGCATTTCAAATTTTTACTGATAACAACAAATACTGCAAAATGAACCAACAACTATACAACTGTAAAATTTGAGATGAATACACATTTATTAACACTAGTCCACTCTTCACAGTCACTGCAATGAGAACCTCCGATCTCAGAAAGCAGTATATATTCACTATACAACTAAATATGTCCTTACCTGGTCTGATATCTGAGGTTCTGGTAAAACCAACTTGCTGCACTTCTTAGCTGGCTCTTGATTCCACACCATAGCCAAAGGAATGTCATTCTCCTTTCGCTGCTTCAGTTTCTGCTTGTCCTTACGGCACTCACGCTAATACAAATATAGAACATGTACATTATGACAAACAAATCTTGCGTAAATCTTTACGCAAACTAAGCAAATTTCAAAGGACGGCCTGCTTGGGAATTACGGGAGCAATGAGAACAGCTCCAGCAGCTGCAATGGAAATACTACTAGGACTCCCTCCACTGCATTTGCAGATGGATGCAGAAGCCAAGTTAGCAAATTACAGATTACGTTGCAATGATCAATGGAGACCTAAACCCCAAGGTTTTGAACATGCACACAAGACTCGCAACATGAAAAAAGAACCCATCCTACAGATGGGATCTGATAAAATGCTACTGAAACATGTTTATGATAAGACCCTTCATGATCAGACTTCCTGATAGAAGTGAATGGAAAGAGGGGTTTCAACCCAATACAAAGTGGGGACTAATCTGGTATACAGATGGTTCCAAGACAAATAAAGGCACTTGAGCTGGAGTGTATTGTGATGGAACAGGGTGGAAACATAGTTCTGGCCTTGGTCAGTACACAACAGTATTCCAGGCAGAGGTGCCATTAAGGCATGTGCATTTGAGAATTCAGATAGGAACTATAGAGATAGGAAGATCTATATCCTATCAGACAGTCAAGCTGCAATTAAAGCACTTGGTACACACCAAATCTCTTCAAAACTGGTTTGGGACTGCCACCAATCCCTCATACAATTGGCCAGACATAACAGAGTACAACTGATATGGGTGCCAGGTCATGAGGGTATTGCAGGGAATGAAACCGCATATCAGCTGGCAAGAACAGGATCTGAACAGCCATTCATAGGACCAGAACCAGCTTGCGGCATCTCAATTGGAGTTGCCAAGAAAGCATTCAGGGACCGGACTAACAGAAATCACAAAAAAAAACTGGGAATCCACAACTGGATTCAAACAGGAAAAAGGATTTATATCAGGATCCTCTGCCAAAAGAACGAGGGCCTGTTAAAATTAAACAGAGATCAACTAAGATGGGTGGTAGGATTACTTACCGGACACTGCCACCTAAAAGGACACCTTTTCAAACTCGGACTAACAGATAACCCAACTTGTGAAAGGTGCCTACTAGAAAACCAATCAGCCACACACATCCTGTGTGATTGTGAGGCCATACCTTGTTTAAGATTTTCTCACTTGGGTCAGTTCTTTATGGAACCAAGCGTCTACTATGATACCCCCCTAAGCAGGGTCCTACACTTTATTAAAAGTGTTGGATTAATAAAGGGCTAATCCAAGAGGAAGCACAAGAGAGCACTGAAGGTCATAGTGCGGGGGCCGGTTTATATGGCCCACCCCATACATACATTACATTACATTACACTACATTAAGGGAAATCCAGATATATACCAAATTATGTAACTAGAGCGATGTTTCATCCCGACACTGATTAAAACACATTTCATCCACCTTCTGGTGCTTCAACTGGTCCTTGCACAGATGCATATTCTTTCTTTCATTAACCTCTAATTGACAATACACATTTTAATTCCCTGAAGCAAAAGTACTCTTTTGCATCTGTATTAAAGTGCAATTGCTTGAAAAAAAATATAACAAGCAAGCAATAAAATGGTTTGAGAGTAGCTCTGAGGAGAGACAAAACAGATTAGCTTTTCTTTCATATTCTGTTAACAAGACTTATAGTGAAACTACAGTGTTTAATCATTTCTTATTCACTACATGTTTACATCACATTGTGGTTCTCATCAGGTGAAACACATACATATTAACGCAAGACATCTGATAACCACAAGATGATCGAAATATCTAGTGAAAAATAAATGATTAAACACTGTCTTTGAATTATAACTTTGTATTTAGACTGCTTAATTACAACTTGAAAGAGAAGGGAATTGCAATGCAAACATAAAATTGCTAATCTGATTTCAATTACACTTTATTCAGTGCATCAGAACAATAGAAAAGGCAGGAAGAGAGATTTTCATCATAGTCACAAATACACCCCACACCAGTAGGGAACCACCACCAGCCTGCTCGGTGCCTTGTTGACAACTGGGGTCTGTGCCACATCCGAACCCTACCATCTGTGACTCATCGGACCACACTACATGTTACCAATCCTCCAGGGTCCAATTAGCGACGTCACAAGCCCAGGTGAGGCGCTGTGTTAACAGAGGCACTCTGGTCGGTCTTCTGCTCCCATATCCCATGGAAGCTAAAGACCGCTGCACTGACCTGCTGGATATGCGTCTGGTACCTCCTGCATTGAATGTGGATGTGATTTCAGCCAGTGTAGCTTGTCTGTTACCACGGACAATTGTAGGTAGATGCCAGTGGTCACGATCATTAAGCACCCGTGGTAGGCCACTGCGCTGTCCACGGTGGGTGGAAATGCCTTCCACAAGGAATTTCCGGTACACACTTGGCACCATGGATCAAGGAATGTTGAATGACCACACAACTTCGGAAATGGAATGTCCCATCTGCCTGGCACCCACTATCATGCCCCGTTCAAACTCTGATAATTCACGTCGGCTTGCCATGAGCAGACTGGCCGGTGTTCAACCTGACTTATGAGAGAACACCTCACAACTGATACTGCTCTGGGCATTCCCAAGCCATGAAGGGATGGTGGCGCTTCTTAAAAATAAATTTACATACTACTATCCCATTACTTTTGGCACACCATCCCTTGACAGTGTGCCAAACTAATGTTAAAAGAAGTATCAGACATGACACACACCGTTAGTACAGGGGATCCATGTAGATGGTGCTCATGTGGGAAGGATGACACTGCGTGGCCCTTGATCATGCAGAAAATCCAATGTCACTGGGAATAGCTTTCCTCCAGGACTGCCTACACAGAGTAAAAATTACATAAAGCTATACACTATATCCTATAAGTGATTTATGAGTTTGCTAATTCCAGATGATCCTCTGGCACTGAAACAAGCAGCACAGAAGACACTAACCTCTAGTGCACAGACTGCTTGTGGTTCCTGTGCAGTAGCAGGGGCTGTAGGCGGATGCTGTTCGGCGGGGAAGAGTGTCCTGAATCTGGGTACAGCACGTGTCAAAATGGCAATGATTACTGACATTTCACCTGCAATGCAAGAAGAAGGTGGAGACAGTTCCTCCTGATTGTCAGTAACCTTCACCACTGCAACACACTGCATATCCAGACATCCTGCAGGGGCCACTAGCTGCTGCCTCCAGAGTGTGGGATCATGGCACACTCTTTTCACAGGTGTCCCTCCAGAGGCTCCAGACCTGTCAACAAATGTAACAGTTATATGAACGTTAAATCTGGCCCAGTCCTTGTCAGAACACTCTTGTGCCACAGAGAGCTTCATTGCCTGACATGCTGCTTAGTTCTGGTGACATACCCAACACCCTAGCCCAGCCTTTCTCAACCAGGGCTCCTTGGAACCCTAGGTTTGTGTGAGAAATTGTGAAATATATAAAAATAAACAATGTGCTTTCATGCTTGTGTGTGTTTATGTTAATAATGGCCACAAAAGTTATCTATTTCCCATATTTGGAGTTTACAGCTTTTATACCAAAAAATAACATTTGCTTATTACCTTTTTAATCACTAAAACGTTATGTGGTTATTTGGAATTTCATTCGGTTATCTACTACCAATTTCTTTTTATATTTAATTACCACTTTTTTTTTTCACAGAAATGGCTGATGGTCCCATGTGACAATTTTTGAAGAGGAGGCATGTAAGAATAGAGGGGGACTTAGTCCTAGGCATACGGATAGTTCCGATGACATTAGCAATGGAGGATCACAAGCTTCTGACAAATTTTACTGCACTAGTGGAACAATGGACCCAAAAAAGAACCATCTTTATAATGAAAACTAATTAATCTGCTTTAAATGGAACAGTGATTCAGGCTGTCCTATTCCATTGTGTCTCACCTGTGGCAAACAACTTGCAAATGCAGCAATGGCTCCAGAAAAATTGAAACAACACTTAACTACAGATCATAGCCACATTATCTAGTAAAAGTGCTGATTATGCTGGGACAAAATGCAGTATGATAAATAAAAAAATAACAGTTTCTGTGTCGAGGTCAATGAGTCACAGATTTCACCAATAAAAGTTACATTGTAGCGTTTGTAACATTTGTAGATGATGGTGAAATTCAAGAAAACTTTTTCTCTGTTGCAAATGGCAAGATATCTTTAATGTCTTATTTTCATATATGGAAACAGAAGGTCTGTCTGGGGAGAACTGTGTAGGCATCTGCATTGGTGGTGACCCATCAGTGGTTGGCTGTAGAGGATTCACCTCTCTTGTTAAAAAACAAAAAAGAAAATCCTGATGTCACAACACATTGCTTTATTCATATAGAGATGCTGGTTTCAAAAACTTGAGGCGAAATGAAAGAAATTTTGGATGATGCTACAAAAATGGTTAACTTTATCAAACAAAGACCAGTTCACTCCAGAATGTTTAAAAAATTGTGTGAAAGCGTGGAGAAACAGCACATAAATTTCGTGCTACATACAGAAATCCAGTGGCTTAGCAGAGAAAGAGTTCTCAACAGGGTGTCTGAGCTGAGAGGTGAATTACAGAATTAGGTTCAAGAAAACAGTAGGCCAGATTTTGCAAAGTGCTTTGAAGATGAAGGAATGGCTGGAGAAACTATCATGCTTAGCAGATACATTTCATCACACTAACCAGTTGGACAAATCTCTGCAAGGCCCCAGAGAAAATTTTGTAACTTCCAGTGACAAGAATCTTGGATTTAAAAGGAAACTGAATCTTTGGAAAAATCATGTTGTGAAAGGAAACCTTGAAATATTTCCACAGCTGCTGGGGCTTGAGAGTGAAGGAGGATTCCAGCAAGTCTCAAGTCTTATTGAAAACCAACTTGAAATGTGGAACATAATTAAACGTTATCTTCCCTTCTTTTCAACACAAGTGTATGTGTGTCCAGATGAGGGACACTCACTCTGGAACTCTGTGAGCTGCAATCTGATTGCATACTCAAGAAGAGATTTACTGACCTATCCTTAGACAAGTTCTGGATTTCTGTGAAAGAATATCCGGCCATTCACTGGAAAGCAGCAAACATACTACTGCAGCTTTTGACTTCTTACATATGTAAGCACGCTTTTTCTTGTTTAACAAGCATCAAGAGCAATGACAGAAATCGTCTTGCTTCGGTTGAAGATAAACACCATGTGTATTTATCTAAAGTTTGACCCAGAATTTAGTATTTGTGCAGCAAAAGCAAGCACAGGTTTCACATTAAAGGAGAAAATTTCAAGCTTTGTTTTCGTTCAAAATATGACACTGTATTACAATGATATTTTTGTTCATACTGCTGTGATTTATATTATGATTTTCAATAACCTTACTATCTGACATTGTCAGTAAATTTTCATGTTGGAAATAACCCTAATTAAGATCAATTTATAACTGTATATGTGTGTTTTAGTATACAGGTCAAATACTGTGTGGGATGTTGCTGGTCTAATAGACAACCACTTAAAAAGTTTGCGGGCCCTGAAAATGACCATTTATTCGGCCGTGCTTGCTCGAGTAGCGGTAGCTGCTTTATAGCAGACCAGGTCTTCTTTATGGCCGTTCAGCTGGTCTGGCTGGCCGGTGATGCGATGCTGCATGCGCCGGTAGGAACAGCTGCCTATGATTCGAAGGATGACAGAGCCGTTGTCTCATCACGGTTGCTGGAGAGCTGTTGCTGCTTCGTGACTTCAGAGTAGCTGCATTAGCTGTCTGTCGTAGTGAGGACGATCGAAGAACTGATCATTGCGAGTCAGAGTCAGAGTCATGTTGCAACTGACGGTCGGTCGGTCAGTCAGTCAGTCTGTCTTGGTGTCGAGCCCCAGCTATTTCTTTTGAATGAAAGTTACTGTCTTGTCTGTGTGGGGCGCCCCCTCTGACAAGAGGTCGGGTCTGTCATTTGTCAGTCAGTCTGTGTTACGCCGTGGTGGTAGGGGGCGTGGAGGTAAATCCCCACCGCCTCCACCACTGTTACGCTCTTACGTCCTTACGACAGGGGTGGATGGGTTATCTCACCGCTGTCTTCACTGTTATGCCGTCGCTACACCTCTATTATGCCGTGGTGACAGGGGGCGTGGAAGTATCCCGCTCTGTCACCCGGTTTAGTATGCTGCCACCATCTTGTTATATCAAGAAAACTAGTAAACTTATCGTTGCTTACGTCACTGTCCTGGCTTAACTCGTAATTCGCCGAAGCTTTTGGAGGTCCTGGAGTCGTCAGGGAAGAGGGTAACACTTAAGGAATTGCTAGGTTAAAGTAAACTCACACATGCCTATCCTATTGCCCTATGTTACTATATACATACTATATACACACTTACCGACGTTCGTCGGTTGTATTACACTGGATAATGAACCTGCAGCCATCATTAAGTCTACCTCTTGTCACCCCACTGTCGGGTATTCTACGCCTCTGTATTTCTGAATGAACCTAGTCCATCTAGTTAACACTATCTTTCTCTGGGGTTTACACTTTACATTTGTCACTATCACACTTAATGTTCATGGCTATAAGAAGTTGGTTTCACTTACTTGACTGAAGAAACAGACGCTCGCCATCACCAACCAGCGCCCACTCACGGCCATCGCTCTCTCAGCGATAGCCTCCCGCTGAACTCTAAGTTACTTAATATTATTCAAAAGGCAAAAGGGTCTTTTGATTAAGTCTTCTAGGGTTTATATAACCTCTCTTTGCTGATTCTTCGAGTTCCGGGTATGTTGGCCTGCCCATTCTGACGTGTTTTTGGGTCGGTGTGGCCCCCTCATTGGCTGTCTACCGATGAGGGGCTGACTGTCGT